ATATTTACATATCATTATATTTGGTGCAAATTTAGAATATAATTTTTTTTCAAGCAAAATAATTTCGTACCTGTGTGTATATTTCACCATTTTCCAACTCACTTGCACTCATATACATACATATGTTTACAACTGCCTGCATGTGTATATGTTTAATGCATTATTACAATATAAGCTTCATTATGCTACATGTACATATTTATGTATGTTTGTATATTTGGATGTAGACGACATGATTTAGTTAACATGGACGTTCGATGCTGCCTACTGCTATTTTTAATATTAATTAATTCCCTCCTCTTGTATGGGTGCGCATGTACTGTATGTATGTATATGTACGGCTGTGTGTAAGTGTCTTTATATCGGCGTGTGTATGCTTAAACATTATGTTATTATGTGTGATTTATGTATGTATGCATGTGCCTTTCCCAAACTGGCTGCTGTGTGGCAATATTTGCATGTATTGGTGACCTTTGTTCACCTGCTTTTATTGTTATCCTTCACATGCCTTATCACGTTTATCAATATTTCGCTTTTTTGCTTTATTAATATCATTATATTGCCTTTCTTTTTTTTTAATTAATATTTTTTTCTTGCTTTGTCAATGCATTTCTGCTGCTTGCTTTTATATTTATTCAATTATAATTTGCATTTCTTAGTATTTATCAATTTCATATTTCGAAAAATATCTATTTTGTTGAAATATTTTTTTAAATGTTTTTAAATTTTTTTTTTAATATTTATTACTTAATTTTGCCCTTGTCTTGGCTAAAGCGCGGAACTTTTGTTTGATTTATTCGCTTTTAGTTGTAGTTTTCCGTTTTTTGCTTTTTCAGTTTTCATTTCTGAAATTTTTAGTTCACACTCTTAAACTGTATTTACCGTTAATGTAGTTTTATGCATGTATGTATACATACATATATTTGTTGTGTATATTTGTATTCGCATTTACCGTATCATTTATGGCCTCCTGTTATTCATAGCAGTATATTGTATGTATGTGTGTATATATTAGTTTTATTATATTATATATATATATATATATGTATATGTAGTTTGTTTTGTTCTTACTCTTCCACCCACTATTTTCGCTTAATTTTTACGTCTATTGCTGCTTGTGTGATACGCTGAGAGAGAGCTTAGAGCTTTTTATACCAGTATAAGTAATGCTCACCATCCTCGACCATAAGCTCGTCGACGCCTGCAAGCGAAGAAAACGAAAAAATTTTGAGAAAAATCTTTTATATAGAAATGTTGCCGAAAACTTTTGAAAGTGAAATGCTGTTTTTATTGGAACTATATAAAACCGACTTTGGTAGGATATACGTCATAATATAGACGTCTTGTTCGATCGATTCCTTAAGCATTCTTTGTTTTTGTTGTAGGGAGTTTTCAAAACCTGTAGAGCTGCCATAGAAGTGTTTTAGCGACAGTTGCAAGGAATGGACCGTTCTGGCAAGGTGGGATGGCAAAAAAGCCTGGTTAGTTTATGAAGTCGATCGTAATATTATGGAGCTCAATTAGGCAGCTTGGAACGCTGATCCGTTGTGGTCAATAAAACTCCTATATAATTAAACATAAGAATTTCATAAATCGAAAAAGCACTTTGAGTCTATCACAAATGTCTATTAAGGCAGCTAACAGTAGTCTCGGCTATGTCACCTGGTTCGCCAAAAGCTCTGGCTGGTTAAGCCGTAACAAAGGTTTGGAATCATTCTTGGAAGTTCGTCTCTAATGAAAACATGTGCAGATCCTGATATTCTGATAGTCCCCAGAGGAATATCTAAAGTGCCTCTCCGAGGACATCATTCTCAATGTTAACTATATTTGTGGTCGAATATAAAATTAAAGGCCTTGGAAACCAGCAAGTCGCTGCGGGTTCGATGAAATCAACTTAGAAATTCGGATTGCAAAAAAAAAAAAAAAAACGGAAAAAATTTCGTGATCGCGAAGAGGAACGAGAGAACTTGAGAGCAAGCTGAAAAATATGTTTATGGTTACAATATCCTAGCAAGTGTAGCCAGGCCCTTCTAAATCTGGTCTTTCCAATGAAGTGGAGGTCTTTCTATTTTTTTATAAAATTTCATTCGAACTCAACTTTGACCCCAAGCGTTCTTTTAAGAAACTTTGTTTGCAGACAGAGCTTGGAGGGATGTCATACTTAAGTTCGGAGTTTTGAAAACCTCGAATAAAGACGTGTTGGGACTCGACGACGATTATTTGATTTTCAAAGCTAGAATTCTAAATTTTTGCTGATTGACTTAAGACAGACGGAAAGAGCTTTCGTAATAATTCGTGGTTCTTCTGGGTCCGTATCCAAACATGCGCAGAATACTTCTAATTATAGGGCTTTTACTTACCAACTGGTGCAATCAGCTGATTGCCTGGTGCATTATTAGGATCTGGTAACTCAGGCAAACGATACAGCAGCCAGTAGTTGTACCTGGTCGAAAGCAACTTGATTACGTAAAGGGACTTTAAAAACCAAAATGCTCAGAAGCTTACCCCCTGGGCTCCTCTTTTTTGCCGGCTAATGTGTGTACATAGTGTCCGTTAGGCCATTCACGCGCCTCGAAAGCAAATCTGCAGAAAATTATAACAAAGTTAAAACACTTAGAAACATACAAATTTGGTGAGGGAGTTACCGTGGATCCAAATCGGCAGCCTGTGTCATGGCCTTGAAGAAACTGGTGTTCTTTGGAGAGACCAGCGAGAGCGAGAACGTTTCCGTCACATTCGAGCCCACCCACAGTGTGTATGTGTAGGAGACATTCTTCGAGTCCGACTCCTCGGCCGATGATGTAAGTCCATAGGGTACAGCTAGTTTTGGTTCGCCATTTTCTAATTGAGTTTGGTGGTTTTTGCGAATTTTTTCAATTGTTTTGTTTCGTTTATTTTTGGTTTTTGTGTTTAGTTTGAGTTTAATTGTGTGATTTTTTTTCGGTTTTGGTACATTCATGTGTTTTTTTGGGGAGTGTATTTAATATTAAGCTTTAAAGTGTTATGAAATCTTGCTAACTTACCTGAAGTTGGATCACTGTTCTCGCGTATCACATGATCGCACTGTAGTGCACGCACTGCACCCAATCCCTTCCAACCCAACGCCAGTATAATGTCCGCGGTCAAACCTACGCCGATGCCGGGGTCCTGTCCATCGTGCAGTGGCTCTTCAGTCCAACCGCCGTCCTCACGTTGCCGACTCAATATCCACTTTGATGCGGCGGTACGGTTCCAGGAGCCGGCGGGATCATGCTCGAGATCTTGCAATGCCTGCATAGCCAATGCAGTACTGCGCAGTGAACCGAAGCCGCCGCGTGGATCCTGCAAACTGGCCAATCCTCTGGCAGGCCGTCGTACAAAGTGCTGTAGATGGCGATGCCGATGATCGGTCACAATGCAGCGTAGCGCCAATATAACCATGGCAATGGTGTCCACACCCTGATCCGTTACGCCGCTCGCTATATCCAGCAGTCGGCGTATTTGGCGCTTGCGCACATGCGCAGCCGCACTACACGCCGACAGCGTGGCTAAGGCGAACTCATTATCTTGCGCCGGTTCATGATGCTGCAGCGTGGCGACTAAGTCGTGGCCATGAAAATGTTTCGGATCCTTACACAGCGAACCGAGTGCCAGCACGTAACGCGCCAGTTTCTCCAAATTCAGCGGTTTCGGCAGCGTATGATGACGATCCAGCATGGCCAATATTTCAATTTCCATCTCCTTCACGGACAATGTATCCTCCAGCTCTTGTATGATCTGCAAGTGGCCATCGGCGTCAGTGGGATCACGTGCGCCGGACAATTCCTTAGCCAAAATAACGACATGCGTATCATTGCCCCAACCATAATCAGCAGCACGTTTTTCCTTTAACCAATCCAACGCCTTCAAGATGGCTTCTTGCTCACGCTTGTCCGGACCAGGCGAACCGATGATATCATGTTCAGGCGCAGTGGTAGCAGTAGTTGTTGTAGTGCTTGCAGTGGTGGACGTGAGCGATGCAGCTGTGCTAACAGATTCTAAAGCAGTTTCGGCGCCCACCACAGGTTCGCTGGTGGAGACGGCAGGCGTCTGTAGTGGCGTACTAGTTGTGGACACACCATGCTCAAGCACGGCCGAGGATGCAATGGTATTGGCATTAGTTTCGGTTTGTGGAATACTACTCGAGAGTTGTGCCCCTGTGGCCGCAGGTGCCGGCGCCACCGTAGGGATAAACGCGACACCTAGTCTAGTGAAGACGGCGAGCTGTAGAAGGGCGATTATCAGCGCAGTAAAGATTATGGAGTTAGTATGCGTTGTAGTTGCGAGCATTACGCGAGCCATATTGCTGGAAAGAGAAGTAGAAATTGTGCCGTTAGTTTAAGAGTTTTAACGAATGTATAACGAAAGTAGCAAAGCCTCGTACTTCCGTCGAGGCCGTTCCGCCGTTATTTTTATGCATAAATATCAACTGGCCGACACGCAGCACAAAGTTAAACGGTTAGCCTTGGCAGTCAAGGCCACACATGTCCCTAATCCACCCACGTGACAGGTAATGCGACCTTTCACCTACACACACACACACGCGCGTACATTAACTGTACAGTGCGGCTGAGTGATTTCCCAACTTGTGCAGCATTTTAATGTGTCGCCCTCAAAATAAATGATAATCATAATAATAAACCGTTATGTATCATCAACCGAAACAAAAGGACGCCGCAAAGTTTATCGACTGGAATGCTTGTGGCCACATTAGGTACTAAGTGATTTCCGTTGCTCATGTCCCGTTATAAATATATGTATGTATATATATACTTAGATAGATATTTATGTCAACTTTCCCAAACCCAAACAATTACTTTGTGGCATTCCGCTCTAACCGGCACCCTCTACTCTACCCCACCGCTACCGTCACATTTCATCCATCTTGTTGTGTCCAATTTAGTGAGAAAATTCTAGTCCACACACAATATGACAAAGCATATCGCCAACAGACACCTTCACTACCACTATTAATGGTTTCATTTCCTGCTCCGCGCCCTTCGCATGCCACTCATTGACTTACAAATCGCTTGGTCGCATTGATGGCACTTCCATCATTGTTGATAATGATGGAACATCGGGTTCCATTTTTGTGTTGCGTCCGTAAATGTCACTGCGCATTCGAGCGACGAACGTTTAATGTGTTTGTCAAGCGTTCGAGCGAGCGGAGTGGGAGGCATGCGGTACTTTTGTGGGTTCATAGTTGGTTAGTAGGTGCCGGTGGCGGGGTTGACTGCTAAAAATACTACTCGCTTTATGTTCAGCTTAGTTGACTCGCAGGCACTTGCACAAATCGCAATTCACTTTAATTTTAAGAATTTATATACCATTTAACGAAACCACAAACGGCAGTTAGGTCGAAAAGCAATCGTAGTTTAAGTTATATTCAGCGTATTTTTAAGTTCAAAGATTTTCGATAATCTAATTTCGAGGTTTCCTGAAGTCCATTCACAAGCACAGAGTCAGCCAACTTCACTAATGAGTTTTTGGACGCCTAACACGAAGCTTGTGATACTTTTCTTGAACACTTGTTGCACTGAACTTGATAACTACGACTTTAAAAGAGCCGACTGTGCGGACGATGAGAACAACAAAGTGGTCTCTGAAATTGAAAATGGGTATAATCATTTAAGTGCCAGCTGTGGTCCGAGTGGTCCACATAAAAACTAAACAAATCCTAGACCGGCTGGTTATGAAACTTATGTGAGTTTCTTCTAAGTCGCATGAAAATCCGGTTGGAGGTTAAGCGTCCATTACAGCTGTTGTCGTAAACCTTGAAGTGGTCCATTATATTCACTTCTTAAAGTAAATTCTTCTTCTATAGGTCTCATTAAAGTCCGGCTGTCGGTTCATGCAGTCTATTTGCGACCAGTTAACTTGGCGCTATTGCAGGATTAATATGTAAGCTCTCTATAGTCCAATCAGCTATGCTTAACATTGAGTTTGTGGGGACTTAACCGGTAGTGGCAAAAGCTACAAAGTCAGACCAAAGACTTAAACCTGGTAGCACGGGGAGCAGTTAGCCCCTGGAGGTAACTCCAATCTGCTCATTGGGTTGGACACTTTGTGGAGATTCGTGGTGGCTGTGGTAAAAACTAAATGTAGGAAGGGAATTTTGTCCTATGTGGAGTCGCACTGTGGCCGGGTCCTGGACCCAAAGTACGGCAGAGGTTTTAGATGGGCCTCGAACCCGACCAAGGTGACTAGGGTGTCCCTATCCACCCGAACCAATTGGAACCAAAAATTAAATGCAAAAGGAATTGATGTGAGGTTAGGTCTTCGCAGGCAGGTACTCACGTAAACCACAACGACATTCTGTCCTCAACAGGGAGCACTTGGAGACATTGATGGGTTTCTAAGCTTATATAAAGTTTAGTCCTACAATTTTGAAACTTTAAGAGACCAAAAGCACTCATAAGTGCCTGTAATGCAGAGTCGACGTGCTTAGAAATCGCGAGAGTAAGTTCAATGCAAGACGAACTTTAATGTGAAAATTTAAGTGGGCACAAAGCCAATCGCGAGACGAGATTTTAGTATGAAAGTTTTATAGCGGTCCTCATTAACTTCCCGAAAACAGAACTAACAAGTCTAATTAGAAAGTTCTAACTAACAAGTCTAATTAGAAAGTTCTATGAAGATATTTTACAAAAAAAAAAAATTGAAAGCGTCGATGTAGTTCGAGATTTTATACCGTTACTGTTGAATTTGAGTAAGCAAGTCTATCAGGTTTTATTGAAAATTGAGTTTTATTGCGAAATTTTTCACAATTTGGTGAAATTAGAGAACTGCAACTGCAATACTTGAAGAAGAGCTGCAAGAAATGTGAACTCAAGGGCACGACGCTGAGTAAAACGAGTTTCTAATGCACAATAGAACGAAAGGCCTTGCAGTCGTATTCAAAAGCGATCTTTTGTGTTATCCAAAGATTTATCTCATCTACAGTCTGGATTATTTGAGCTAAGTCTTTGGTTTGCACTTCGAACTCTTTGGAGTTATAGACTCAGTTTACATTATCACTTTATTGTGAGGCTTAGAAAACGGTTCTAAAAGCTATACACAACACAAAACCGGCGTGATTTAAGTATTTTCTTTTTCAAATATTGCGTTTGCAGAGCTCACCTTTTACACACTTTTCAATTTTCTTATGAATTTTCTTTATATAACTTTATAAAAGTTAGTCTTCACACTTTTCTTTCTTTCAGTTGCACAAAGAAATCTATAAAGAAAACATTTAACAATGTCCGGCCACAACAACAAGCGCGTGCCGCGTGCGGTATTTAATAAGCTTGAATGCCTTACATCAAAATAGCCGTTACTACACGCAACGCACGTTTCAACACAAGCGTAGAACTTTTTTTTATTGGACTTTCCCTTAATTTCATAAATTTCAAATATATTTATTTCGCTTGTTTTTCACTATTTCGCGCGCACGTTGTTATGGGGACAACCGCTGCCGTTGGCGCACCGCACAAAACAAAACGCAACTCAATGAAGCGATGAAGCAACTCTGTAGCGTGGACCGCCACTCACCAACACCTACAGGGCGCAAGCGGCTACTTGTACGCATACACACACAGGCGCGTTTGTACTCAATCACACACACGAAGCGACATTATTTTAGAAGACAATTGACATTTGCTGCGACGCGTGTCGCCTCAATTTACTGCCCACTTGGGTTGACTGGTGGCAGTGTGACGATTACCGGAGGGGTTGCTTGTAAAGTGGCGAAGCGCAGCGCTGCGCAGCGCAGCGCACCGTTATACGCTGTCAGCTGCCATGAAACGTTTGTTCGACGAAGCATTGCAAACACTTTAATCCCTGAAGGTTGCACTGACAGCAGTTGAAGAAGTAGGTTTCGGCGTTTTTTAGCGCCGAGTGGTGAGTTTAAGGTAGCTATACATACATAGTATATACACATGTATGTTTGTGTAGGGGCAATAGTAGTGCCATTGCTCGCTGCTGCGTCGCTGTTGCCGCTACTAATACAAGGACTATGATGGTCCATAAAGTTAATTAGGCGTCCGTTAGACGCACGAACGAACCTATCAAGCGGCGTACATAAGAACAAAGCGTTGACGACACAGTGATGCGTATTACGTAAATTTATAGTAAAAAAATATATATTATGTGTAATACGACTTAATTGAGAAAGCTCATAGCTGCATACTCGTTAGGAAAAAAATAAAAAATATGGTTGCGCCAACTCAAACGACTGAGCGTTGTGCGCGGCATTTGTTGTTGCTGTAGCCAGTAAAATATTAACTAATTAATTTTTGGTTTCATTTGTTATTGTTGTGGGCCACAGAATTTTTTTCAAAAACTTTTTCGTATACTCGGCACTGGTAATAGAAGAAGAAACAGTGTAAAATTACGGTTTTCTAACGCCGCGTGTATGTAAACTGAGCCGTTCGGCGGTTGAGTCGAGTGTGCGCATCTTATGACTTTCATTTAACTTCACTATTTTCATATTCATTTCACATTTTTAAATTTATTCCACCTCACAGCGGTTAAATTCACCATAACTCATTTTGAATTTTTATTAATTTTTTTGAAATGATGTTTTAAATTTAGTTTTGAATGAATTTTTGTTTCAAATTTTTTAAAATTTTTTTTAAATTCACATTTTTTCTCCAATTTTTTTTTTTTTTACCAATTTTGTTCCACTGTGCCAATCGTTCCATTGTAATCTAACGCCCCTACATACCGCCTCACGTGTCTGGAAGATTAGTGTCCGTCATGAGAACATCACACTATCCGTTGTTGTTGGTAGGGGGTGGGTGCTGAATTGCTTCAATATTTGCCTGCCCGCCATTTAACGAGGTGTGAGTTATGTGTTATTGCTGTTTTGCACTGAAGGACAGGACGTCCGCGGCAACTAGAGGCTATTGGTCATTGCTCAGTCGTTAAGTCGCACTAATGAAGTGGAAGTACCAGATTGCAATTTCAATTCACATTTCTGAATTCTTGCGAGGAATTTGTGTGAGACACTACCCTATATGTATATGTATGTATGTATATATGTGTGGTGTGTATATATCGCTGTAATGTTTTATTTGTATGTGTAAATTAGTAAGTGCGCCGTTGGACTTGATTACACACAAAATGTACATACATATATTCGTTATAAGTAGTGAAATATACTGGCTGAAACATGCAATCCTCCATAAGCTCCAACATGGGGATGGCGCTTAGCGTCGAACGCATTTTTCTCTGAGTCTTAATGGCATGCGTGCGTATGTGTTACAGTATATAGCGAATATATGTATATGCTGTGTAGTGACCACTGAGGCGCTTAAGCATATAGTGCTTTAGATAAATTGACATGCAACCACGTTGTTTTGTAATTATAGCTTTTGTTGTTGTACGTCAATTGTTCTTATTGTGAGCATTTTTCATTTACTCCTGTTAATCAAAGCGTCGAACTCATCTCTCGTGTCTCGAATGAACGTTGTAATCTGTGTGACTTTGTGCCTGCTAGCTAGCATGCACAGTCATACACTCTTACATAGACGTATGCATGGCTGATAGGTAAACGTTTTTATTTTCTCGTTATTTTTATCTTGATTGTTGTCTGTCTACTTAATCACCACAAAGCTATGATTAATGTACGACTTGGAATAAAAATGAAAAATTGCAGTAGTAAAAATAAATGATCAAAATTAAGCAACAAATATAGGATTTACGTACATGCAAACATGAATGCTTATAAATATTTCTCTGGAACTTGCAGTTACTTACAAACCTTTATAAATATGACGCCAGCCACTGGTCAGCAGTAAGTATTGTGTGTAAATAAATGTTTTATTAAAATTAATAGAATGCCTTACCTACAAGCCATTTAAAGGTTGTTCCTAATGTTTGGCTCTTAGCTGTAACCAAAATTTAGTTTTAGCAAGCGGAAATCTAGCTTTCCTTATGTACCCTCAAGAGTTTGAGTTTGATCAACCGGAAAGCCCCAGTTATATATCCGGCAAAACAGCATAAACTCAGCAGTCTTCTCGCAAAAATATTGATGTACGATTTTACGCTTTTGCACTAACTCAGCAATACATATAGCTCTTGAGAAACATTTGCATTTTGCATTATTTAACTTTATACAATAAAATTATTCATGCACTTTTTAAGATTATTGCAATTTTTAATACACGGAAATTTAAATATCAAAAAAGGAAATTGTCAACCGCAATCAGCTGTTGAGAAACTCAGCTGGGTTTGTTTGTTTATGCATTAGTTTGAGCTTTTAACAACTAATCAATTCAAGAAAATTACTTTGAAACTTCGAATATGAAGTACATTATGCTTTTCTGTTTACTATTTAAAATAATTTAATTGATTTAAATAATTTCAATCATCTATTTAATTGATTAATTTAGCATTATTTTTTACATAAAACGTCTAAAACCATTTTTTTACTGCGGACATCTATCGGGTGGCAGCACAACTATGCTTCCTGCCGTAGTAATCATGTTCGATTTCCTTTACTCTGACAGCTGAGTGTCAAAAGCGCGAAAAAGCTCTTAATTAGCGCGTTGGTTGCTGATCCTCCATTTTAAAAAGTATTTCGTCGGAAGCACAACCAAAATTCAGTGCGTCTATTTGCTAATTTTTATAAGTGCATCAATTTAATTACAAACAAATAAAATATTAACAAATCTACTTTGGAATGGTTGTAAGTAAATGAAAGTATCAATTTTAGTGTTAAAGAGACAGGAAGGCATCATGTTTCAACGGAAAAGTTTTCGGCGGATGTGGAGCGATATAATTTCGAACAGTTTATTGGTCAAGTGAGGCCACACATGATGACACACATGAACGATTCAGGTACGTGTTATAAATATTGAATTGTAGTGCAAAGCTTTAAGGAGTGATGAGCATAATAGGCTATAAAAAATATTTATTATAAAACTTATATTTCTATTAGTAAAATATGTTCATATGTATATATCTATATGTATGTAATGCATACATATGCATATATGCATATTGAGTATTAAATAGTATTTGAGTAAAGTACTTGCTTTAGTTAAAGGTAGATCCATTTTGATACCCTAACCTTCAAAACGTATTCATCAGATTCTAAAAATGACGCTTTACTTTCCATCTTTTTTTCAAACATCCATACACTTGCATTAATTACGAATTTGTACGAAAGACTATAATTGTCAAACGGAATCAGCAGTTAACAACCGCAGCTATGTTTGTTTGCATATGCATTAGATTACTGTGAACTTTTACAGTTCATCTTTAACAGAAAACCTACTTGATATTACGAACATAAAATATAATTCATTTTATAAATTCTTTATTAAAAAAAATATTGTTATTTATAAATTTCCATTTCATAAAAAAACAGTATAATATGCTTCAATATTGCAATACCTAAAAACAATTGTGTCTGCGGACATCTATCGGATGGCAGCACAATTTCTCGTTTCGCTTTCTTCGTATATTCTGACAGCTGGCTTACTGTCAAAATTGCGCAGAAGCGCAAATTAGTCCAATTCGGCAAAGTTAGAAGAAAAGTTTTACAATCATTACAGAAGTGTGTGTTAATTACGATATATTTAATTACAGTGATTTTTGTTAATGGTTTACTGTTAATACCAGTTTGCATTGATTACTTTGGTAAATCAAGCAAACATGAATATTTGTTGTATGCAGTAAGTACTGAATTCAGGTTAGATGGTAAAGTGAACTCGTTTTGACTCGGGGAGCTGCTGATAAGATCAGCCGTTTTAGCAAATTCATTTATTGAGTAAATAAGAAACAAATTAACACTATATGCGCCGTTAATAAACAACAAAGCTGTATGTTTATTATTTGTTATTGTTAGCGGTGTAATAAATTTCTACTACATACTTACATATAAAGCGGTATATTTTTCGGCAACGCATTCTTTTGTGAATCGTGCATATGAATTGTAGGCTTCGGGAGTTTTAATTGTTTATGAGTAAACGTAGTGCAAAGTTCAGTGAATAAATAATAATCATATGCGATAATAAATAAAAAATATATATTGTAGCTCCAAGTATAAACCGATAATCTACAATTAGTGCGATTAACGCAAGCATTTAATATGTCATTGGTGCGCTCGTTCTTGATTAGGGGTACAAACTCACACAAATACTAACTAAAATATTATTATTTTCAGTAGCGCAGCTACCAACAAAATATTTTGTATTGAATGAATAACTGCGGTGCTTCGCCACTGGAGCTAGTCAGTATTGTAGCGGCAAGCAACGTTAAAGGTTCGGTTTATTGGTAGTAAGCTTAAAAACAGCGCTATAAATTGAGTGCTTGTGGAAAAATAGTGGCAGAAAAAAAACGAAAACGAAAGAAAAATGCCGTCCAATGCAGTTAACCCAGATTTGCAACGTGAACGTGAAAAAGCGTCTTTTAACACGCAAGAATTCACCTATTGGTGGCTAGGTGGCAAGGAGAAGTATGAGGCAAAAAAGAAACTAGGTGAGTGTTAAATTGTGTTCAAATAAAAATAAAAAAAAAACAAATTAAGTAAATAAATGTGCACTGCAACTGCATGTCGGCATGCTCGCGTGTGCAAATATATGACTAACGCTATGTATTTGCTGTTTATATAAGTTTACATATACGTGAGTAAATATGTTTTTTCTGTTGCTTGGTTTATCAGCATTTGTTGTTTGCTTGCAAATACTGTATGTCGGAAGTGTTTGCCTAGTCTAAACGCCGCCTAGCGCGCTGACCCGCTTAAGCAGCAGGTTTAGCTGAAGTACATGCGAATACCTACTATACATGCATATGTATGTATGTATGCATGTTTGCACACAACGCCATGCATTTTCGTACACTTTTGCGTATACGTAACAGTAAGTGTGTTTAGATCTTCAAAATGTTATACAAGTTTGCGAATAAACAAGTTAAGCTGCTCTGTTTGCAAAATTAAGTTAAAAAATTCGCCGTTAATTGCTCACTTTTTATACATACACACAAATATGCAAGTTTATTCATATTCAACGCTACAAGCAACGTGCACTTAATCAGAAGTTAATGTTATTTGAACTTTGTACTCAGAATAGCAGAGCGCGAAATGTTAACCGTTACAAAACAGGTGACTCAGTTTTTATTAATTGCTTATTTAGTTTACGAAAAAACTGAATGTTTTTATGCTTAAAATATTATAATAAAAAGAAAATAAACTTTAAACACTGTAATAATATTTTTTTGTGCAAGTTTTAAGTGCGTCATGTGCATTAAAATGTAAATTTGTGAATATACATACATACATACGTACTTTTATAATCACTTTTAAGTCTTTAATCTTTAAGTACAAATTGACGTGCCCTTACTTTTTTTGTTGCAAAAATAATCTTGATCTTTAGAGCTGTAGCAATTGTTGCGCCACTTTGTATTAAACGATTAGATTGTAATATTTATTAACTGCGTAAAGTGTGTAAAAATCTACTGCATACATACATACATACGATGTATTTTTGTATGTATGTACATACATATGTGTTGGTTTGAAATAAAATAATGTAGATATTGCTTAGTGCAACGTGCAGCTAGACATGTAATTATAATTAATGTTAAAGATCTGTGGGTATTTATTTTCAAACTGACGTGTATTAGTGTACCGTGAACAGAGTATATGAAGTTTGCCACTAAGTTTGTAACACCCAAAAGTTTTTCAGCTGTCAATTTCTAATTTAAAATATGAACTTTTCTCCACAAGACACTACGGCCTACTAGAACACATAGCTGTTATACAAACTGTGCCATCAAAATGAAGCTAAAGGTCTTTTTATAACCTTTTATGCTGTGAGAAATGCACGCGTGAAGGGTATTCTAAACTTGTTGCAATCGAAGTTAATGCTTCTTACTATTTTTTGTTTAACTCTAACTCACTTTTTCAAATATTATATTTTTTTAAACAACAATTTAATTTTTTCTTTTACTTTTCAGAAAAACTGTTTCTGGACGACCCTGAATTGAAGGATGAGCTCCCCATCTCGTACATGTCACCCAAGGAACTGTACGAGCACAGCGTACGCAAAGCCGTAATTATTGCGAAAAAGTTGCGCGAATTACGTGCTGATGGGGAAGACGACGTGGATACTTATACGTAAGTTCACAGATTTTGCAAATGAGCGCAAATTTAATACTAAACTTTTTTTTTTCTATTTGTAACAGCGCACTGTTTGGTGGCGCACTTGGCTCGGCGCTGATTAAGGAGGGCAATCCGATGATGCTGCACTTTGTCATGTTCGTACCAACGATATTGGGTCAAGGTACGGTGGAACAGCAAATTGAATGGCTGACTAAAGCCTGGAATTGCAATATACTCGGTACATATGCACAGACTGAGTTGGGTCACGGCACGTTTTTGCGCGGTTTGGAGACGCGTGCCGAATACGATGCCACTACACAAGAGTTCGTTTTGAATACGCCCACAATTAGCGCCTACAAATGGTGGCCGGGTGGTAGTAAGTACAGACTCCATATGTCATGTGTGCTAAAGGGTTAATGGTTTAAACTGCATGTAAACATTTTAGTGGGACACACTGCCAACCATGCCATAGTCGTGGCGCAACTCTACACCAAAGGCGTGTTTCGTGGCCTGGCGCCGTTCATTGTGCAACTGCGTGATTTGGAAACACATATGCCTATGCTGGGCATAGATGTTGGTGATATCGGACCTAAAATCGGCATGAAGTCGGTCAATAACGGCTATTTGGGTTTAAAAAATGTGCGTGTGCCTTTGAACAATATGCTGATGAAGAATCAACAAGTTTTACCTGATGGTACCTATGTAGCGCCGAAGAATAGCGTACTCACCTACGGCACTATGATGTTTGTACGCGTGGCGCTCATACGCGATCTGTCGCAAACATTGGCGAAGGCTTCAACGATTGCCATGCGTTACTCGGCGGTGCGGCGCCAAAGTCCCATAGACCCCAAGTGAGTTGCAACTGTTTATAGCTACAATTATAAGTATTTATTCCCTGAACAGGATATATTTCCGAGACATATGGAATTTTTTATATTTTAAAGCTTCGTTGTATCGAAGTAAATGTTTTTTTTATGGTTTTACATTAATCGGCAAAATTTTTGTTTGCCAGCAAACCCGAGCCACAAATTATCGAGCATACAACGCAGCAATTGAAAGTCTTTCCGCAAATCGCAAAGGCCATCATCTTCAAAATAACAGGCGAGCACATATGGAACATGTTTAACAATGTCTCTGGCGAGTTGGAGCAAGGCAACATGGATCGCTTGCCGGAAATGCATGCGCTGTCCTGTTGCCTGAAAGCCATTACAAGCGCAGACTCCGCGGCGGCGGTGGAAGTGTGTCGCCTATCTTGCGGTGGACATGGCTATATGGATTGCTCTAATTTTCCCACAATATACGGCATGACCACAGCTGTTTGCACATATGAGGGTGAGAATACCGTTATGTTGCTGCAGACCGCGCGCTATCTGGTCAAAGTGTACGCGCAGGCTCTGAGTGGCGAACCGTTAGTGCCGACGGTGCAATATATTAGTGATTACATAAAGAATAGAGAATTCGGCGCGTTCGATTGTACGCTAGAGCAGATCGTACATGCTTTCCAATTCGTGGCTGCGAAGTAAGTTTGTGCTGTTTTTCTTTTTGTAATTTTTTTTTTGTAGTATGTACATACATACGGTTATACTAAGTGTAAATTCCCAACAGCAAGGTGCGCATTGCCTACGAACGCATGGAGAAGCACCGCCGGCAAGGCCAGGAACCCGAAACGGCGGCCAATTTGGTGGGCATTGAGCTGACACAAGCAGCTGATGTGAGTTTAAAAATATTTAGCTTGAAAAAATGCAAATAAATAATCATAATTCCTTGCCACACAGCTACACGGACGCGCTTTTCTTGCACAAACCGCGTACAGCGAGCTGAATCAGCTCATACGTGAAGTTTCACCCGCGTTGGCTGCCGTATTCCAAACGATTTTAGAATTATATTTGTTGGACGCCTGTTTGGGACGCATGGGCGACTTGTTGCGCGTAAGTCTCACACATTGCCGCTCACTAGTATATTTTACGTTCATCCTAACCTCTATTTACAGTTCATTAGCCTAACCGATGGCGATGTCAGCAAATTGGAGCTGCGTCTGGCCGAATGCCTTAAGCGTTTGCGTCCCAATGCTGTCGCGCTTGTCGATAGCTTCGATGTGCACGATCGTGTTTTGGACTCAGCTTTGGGCGCAGCCGATGGCCGCGTTTACGAACGTATCTTTGAGTCGGTCAAAAAGAATCCCATGAACAAGGAACCAGTGAATAAAACATTCCATCAGTATTTGAAGCCTTTCATGAAGGCGAATTTGTAGTTGTGTGGTTGTTGTATGACGTATGCGCATGCGCGTATACACGTTTATGCGTGCTTTTGTTAAATCTTGTATTGTAAATATTTTATTCATACGAAATGGAACGCAAATAAAACTTTTAGCTTAAGTGAGTTGAAAATCTGCGCGGAACATGGTGTTGGACACAACAAAAATCGCAGGGAGTACGCAATTTGGCGCTGGTAATTCTTACATTTTAAGTTTTGCTAAAGAAATTAATTATTTTTATTATTTTAACAAATAAATAGGTGTAAAAATCGACGAAGAACACTGTTGTTAGCTCGGTAGGCAGCTTTACACTGATTTTGTGGAGTGAGTTATGTTCGTATGCACTATAAAGCAGATCTCCAAAAGGCCAAACATCGTTTTCAGTCATTGGAAGTGTTGTATCCACACTTGCATGGTTCAAAGAATTGTTCAAATTCTTCTACATAACCTCAAATCACCGTATTACACACATGTACAGAACATAATATCAGCACACTAATCAGAAATGTTGCGGGGGGATATTTTTAATTGCAATGCCGTGCCGAGAAACAGAGTAAATTATTCTAAGTTCAAGCAGTCGTATGTACATAACCTCAAATCACCGTATTACACACGTTTACACAACACAAAATCATCGCAGGAATAAGAAATGTTCATTGGGATATTTTTATCTTCGAATCCGTACCAAAAATTATTCCAAGATACAAATTTGTGAGTCTACATAACCTCAATTACCTGCTACTGCGAGAATTGCAATTTTGTCGTTTATGGTCGGAAACAACGAATGCTTGAAACTCCAGAAAGCTGATGAAAAGTCTTATGTCTACACTTTTATGGCAAAAAAATCGCTAAAATCCTACGAAAACAGCACAATTGGAACTACATAACCTCAAACACTTACAATAGTCTAACACAACATAATCACGAAAACTAAAGTCAGTACTCAGTGAGAAAATTGTAACCCAGTTTGCCTGCCAACAAATTATTCAAAGTTCAACATTTTTAAAGTTACATAACCGCAATATACTGATTTTTCACAATCGGATCGTGGGCTATCAAATAAGTATACGCAAATCAAGCAGTATCAAATACAATGTGTACAAAAAAGTGAAAAAGCAGTTTGGAAGACTGTTCACACTTCCAAGAATGAAAATGCAGGGAGACGTAGCTAGCTCGTGTCTAAATAACCTACAACATATGAACTTCCATATATTGGAGCAACAAAGCAGCACCACAAGCAGCAGAAAACTTAGTGAGATAACTGTGTTGAAAAAATTAAATTATTGAAACTACATAACCTCACATGTGAATGTGATTTACCGTATAACTCTATAAAAATCAAGCAATATCGTATACAACGAAGTCAAGATACTCACAGGTCGACTAAAGACCTAATAGCAGTTATACATAACCTCAATGACTTATAACTGGCCGATGACTGCTAACTTCTTCTTGATTGGCGTAGTCACCGCTTACGCGATTATAGCCGAGTTAACAACAGCGCGCCAGTCGTTTCTTCTTTTCGCTACGTGGCGCCAATTAGATATTCCAAGTGAAGCCAGGTCCTTCTCCACTTGGTCCTTCCAATGACTGCTAACTACTTTTTAAAACAGTGTTCTTCGCACATACAACAACAAATATTTAAAAACAATGCTTAAAAAACAGTTTTACGTGAAATAATTGTAAAATTAGTGTGTAATATTTTTCGTATCCAGTCGCAAAACTCATCGGACACAAATATTCACAAATCCTGCAACATACCACATAAAACTAAGACTTAATATTAGTAACTTAGCATAAGTTCTAGTGTTCTACCATCGCCGAATATCAAACTCATGAACTCAATGCCAATATTTGTTAAGGTGTTTCGCGCAGTCAAGCCGTAAGCTTTTTAAAGCTAATAGTGTTTACGATTATAATGCAAGTAGTGAGCAAACACAAGCTGCTTCTTTATCATCTCATTTATTTTTTATATCATCTTTATCATTTCGCAAAATCATCAATCAAGTTTTTCTTCAGCTCTGGCTCAGCGGGGATTGCAGCAGTTATTTACAATTACCAGCAAATATAAGCCAGAGTTGCAGTAAACAAAGGTGAGTGTTTGCTCCAGTTTTATTCAAAATTTATTAGTGGGAAGAATTTTTGATGCCAATACAATTACGTCCAATATCCAATTTTGAAGATATTAAAATGACTTTAAAAGCTAAAACTACCTGATCGATCAACGGGTTGCAACTCCAAAGTAAATTTTCGCGCAATTGGCACTTATCGCATTATTCAGCTGTGATTTTACGCAGCTGAATACGTGCTGAGAAGCAAAAAAACTGAAAGAAGCACCTATTCAGCTGCGTAAAAAGCACAGCTGAATAATGCGATAATTCAGTTAGAAATTGCTACTTTCAGCTGTGGTTTTATGAAGCTGAATAAGTGCTGACAAGCAAAAAAAGTGAAGTTATGAATTTTTAATTCCAGTGCTATTATGTGCAAACCCAATATCCTATACCCAATTTTAAAGATATTAAAGTTAGTTCTAAAGCTAAAACTATCTGATCAACGAGTTGCAACACCATAGTAAGCTTTTCGCGAAATTGGCACTTATCGCAATATTCAGCTGTGACTTTATGCAGTTGAAAGCACCTGCTCTTTCAGTTTTTTGCTTGTCAGCGCCTATTCAGTTAGAAATAGCTACTTTCAGCTATGATTTTATACAGCTCAATAAGTGCAAGACAAGCAAAAAAAATTGAAATAATGCTTCTAGCGCTCATTTAGCTTTAAAGAATGATAGCTGAGTTGAATGCTCTAAGCTAAAGCTCTTATAATTGCAAATTTTTGCAGTTCCAGCTAGAGAAAAAGTTCTGACAAGTAAACAAAAAACATTGAAAGAATGCCCCTGTTAGCTTTCAGCGCATATTCAGCTAAAAATAATAGCTGAATTGAGCTAAATGTCAAAAACCCCATGAATGCAGTTTCTAGTTGTCCGCGTTCATTCAGCTTATGTGACAGTTAGCTGAATCAGACGCTGAGCGTCAGATCTACTGAAAATTATTTGAAAGCGCGCGCCTTTTACGTTTTGTGAGCATTATAAGGCGAAAAGCAACTATTTGCGGTAGAGAATCCGGTTTGCTATTTGGTAACAATATGTGTTCCCAATTCCCTAGTAAATTTGCGGTGCAGCGGTGACTATTAAACACCTTTCAGCTAGTATTTCATATTTGTAGTTAATATCTCGTTTTAATATGCTTTCTACTTATAAAGTTTTACAAAATAAACTGATTTGTTGGATTATATACTAAAATTTTTTTCGGTATGCCTAAATGTAGGCAATAGTTCGTGTATATATTCATTTAGATACAAAAGATACCCTTTGAGCTGTTGGAATAAGGTACGTAATCTAGATGAAAAAGTCTTCTTACTGTACATTTTTCTCAAATAACTGTTTTTCGCAGTATCTAGCTTGCATACCCTTAGGCGCACTCTTTCAAAATAGCAAAATAAAATAAAAATTATTTTTAAACCTTGCTATAATGTTAATATGATAAAGGTTAGTAGAAATAGCGGGCATTATTTGCTGTAAATTATATCAAAAGTTTTTTAAAATTATTTAGGAAAGCGAAATTTTTTTTTTGTTAATTTTTTATTTTAATTTTTCATCTAAATATTTCTTTATTTCAGTATTTTTTGATTTAGCTTAAAACTTTATTTAAGAAACTAGGTTTTTAATATAATTTTTCTACCGAAAAAAGTTTTTGAAAAAATTTAGAATTAAAAATTCCGCCCTATTTAGTAATTTATTGCATAATTTCATTTAAATAATCTTTAATTGTACTTTATTTTAAAATGCTTTTTGCAAAAAAAGGCAGATCCATATTATTTTTGTGCTGCAGATGCCGTAAAATTATTCCTTATGTTGAATAGCGCCTACATATAGGCTACAATTTTATTTTATTTTGCTAATTGTGTTTACTTCTTCCACTAAATTTTCTTCAAATGCCATTTAATGTTGCTTAAAGATAATTTGTGTGCCCTTACTCTCAAAGAAGGTGTCTGAAGTTCCTTAATGTTGCTTAAAGCTTTTGCAAGTTTCGCTAATTTCTTTTTGAAGCCATAAACAGTTTTATGCGCATTCTTAATGGGTTAACTGCGCACATGAGTCATTGTCATCAATATAATAGAAATAATAAAAACGTGGCAATGAAGCTAGTATTTATATATGTACATAAGTACATATGTATGTATGTATAATATATGAGATATCCTTTTTTATTATCTGTTTACAAATACATATGCATGTATGTATGTACATACACATGTAATTAGTTTGTCGCATTTAAAATGAATGCGTGAAAGGTGATGTAAAGTAATTAACAACATGTGCGAATGCAGTTATATATGTATGTACATAAACATATTTGTACTACGTAGGTTACAGTACACATATGTGCGCTCACACATACATACATACATATGTATATATGTAATTTTTATGACTATTCGTTTTTTATGTTTTTGTTGCTGGCAATCGTTCGGTTTTTATAACCTCTTCAATAGTATTTTTGTGCATACTCTTACATAAAGAAAAATATATGTATAATAAATATGTACATTAGGGTGCTTAACAAATGAAAAAAAAAAATTAAAAATTAAAAAAAAACTAAAAAAGAAAATTAAAAAAATTTAAAAAAATTTAAAAAAAATTATAATTTAAAAACAAAAGTGAAAAAAAGAAAAAACAATATTAAAAAAAATTAACATACAAACCAACGAATCAAAATCTAGTTCTTGTATGGAAAACTTTTGTTTGTTTTATAAGGTGTCTTCACTAAATTTGGTATAGATATATTATCCAATATCCAATATAAACCGAATAAATTGTTCAGATTACACCACTGTACCCTAAAGCTGCCATACAACTTGATCCACCAAAGTCAGGACGAAGAACTTTTTATGCTATAAGAAATGTACCTGTAAAGGGTATTATAGCTTCTGTGCAGACAAAGTTGACAACTTTACTTGCTTTGTGTTAGTTTGCCATATAATTAAAGTTTTTTTTATTAAAATTGTATTTACACATAATTGTTAAAATTAAAAAAAAAAAAAAAACATTTTATATTTTTAAAGTTGAGGCTTTTATTAAATTATAAGGCAAAGTATGATTATCTGTGTAAGAAGAGTAGTTACAGCCATTCAAAAATGACTAAATTTCCCAAACTTTCAATTTTAAATTTGT